GCATCAATTTTCCAGTCATATACGCCGTGAAAAGGGCTACTAGAACGTAACAACATGCCGGCAAAATAGCCGCCAACAACACAGTAGAATAAGATTGAATGCAAGTGTGGAGCCATTGCAGTATTGCGGGCGGGGCACGTACAGAGTTACGAATTGAGCGATGCTCGTTGCAAGGCGGCAGCGATGGAAATGACTGGTGCTTGTCTTGAGGATCGGCACTGGGCAGGAGTGGGTTGCTACCAACCGGGAAGGATGACGGGGATCTGGAGCTCAAAGCTGGAATGTCGACAGCGATCGACGAGGGCTCCTCGCAGGCCAACGTATCACTTTCAGGCACAGTTATGTAGCCCACTGGGGAACCTTGGGCGGTAGAGTGAGGGCGCGCGTACTGGGCTGCTGGAGGGTGGTGCGTTAACTGTGCACGTACTACCGGGGCTGACCTGCCAACGTTGGGGGAGGCATACAGTGGAAGATTCTCGAGTTCGTGCAAGGGTGTTGACATCAGCTGCGTAGAAGCAGAAATTCGAATCGGGCCTGCGCCTTCATCCTCGGAGTCACCATCAAGAGGGGGACCAAAATCGCAATGTGGCGAAGAAATGGGGGAAGGCGAGCTAGACTCGAACATGGGAACAGGGTCGGAATTTTGTGAAGGACTCCCCTCAATCGTCATTTCGGTGGCGGAGAAGGGACGCCTGGGTTGTGGCGGTCGCTTCGGCAGAAACCTGGCCGCCTTCTCGAAAGCAGTCAGCCGCAATAAGATCTCAGCATTCGTCTTCTGCATGACTCTCACTGAGGCTTTCTGGATGTCCTGACATGAACAGTAAGCAGCAGAGCTACACAAGTGCCATCACACACACTCACGACATCGGCTTGTGCTCTCCGTGCAATCCTTGAGGCCACATTCAATTCGTCCTTGAGGTTCGATAGTTGGGCAGCGGCAGGATGTTGCGCGGGTGGTTGGTCAAGGTTCTTCATGAATGCGGGGGTACAGAATATGGTCGACGGATGACCGTTACGGTCAGGCCTTTCGTTGTGGCCAATCCTTTGTGCCCTCAACACGTGCCGTCATACAAGGAGAGTCGCGCACTGAGTAAGTACTGAGCGCTGAGATGTAATCTCGTCTCGAGCTTCGGGGAGGAGCCGGGCAGACTTGGAAGTCAGGGTCAAAATTTCGAGCGCAAGTCTCGTTGAGCTAGCAAGAATCAGTCACGGATCTGAAACGGCGACGGTCTCGCGCGGACTACAAGGACTGGAGTCGAGACTAGCTGAGATGGTTTATTACAAGGGTAGACTATGACAGAAATATTGCGAGACATGACAACGAGCACAGTAACTCATGCAGCACGACTCACTGCTGTTGATGCCCTGACCTCTGGCAACGGGCGTTAGGAAAATGGGCTCGGCAGGCGAAACAAACGTACTCAGCATCCAAACTTTCCGAGATCGTTTGCCTTTCGTCTCTAGCACACCCGAGGGAATGAAGAGTTTTCGCACACCTCCTCCCCTCATACCTTCCAAGTAACGGCTAACTCCTACGACTGAGGTTTGAGCGCAAGGGAAAAGCTAAGGAACGATATTAATTACACACCGAAAAGCGCTGCTTCGTCACCAATCTTCACCGTAGTCTATGCTCCACGGTAAAATGGGAGGGATTCGAAAAAGTCCCTACTTACAAGGGTTATGGCCTCGCGTCTGATAGTATACGTCCCGTCTTGGTTCTGAACCGAAAGAACGTATTGAACGTCGACCTCATCGCCGTGCTGGATGACAAGGCCAGTACCTTCTTGTTCGTCTTTGTGTGTGGGTGCGTCTGCGTGACCTTCTTTCGCCTGCTCTTTCTTGTGTCGTTTTGGAGATTCGGGGAGGTCTGCGTTGGCGACGGCCCTCTTCTTCGGATTAGGGGACTCCGGAATCGTCGTTGGAGGGTTGCTCGTTGGAGCCTTGGTTTGCGCTCGAGGGGTCTCTAGTTTGACGGTCGCCGCAAGCGTCTTGACAGGTGAACTCGTCGACTCTGCACGGTCGACCTTGGGTTTGCTCGTTGGAGCCTTCTTTCGTGTTTGGGAAGGTTGAACGGTCTCTAGCTTGATAGGCACGGCGAGCGTCTTGGCAGGCGAACTCGTCGTCGGCTCCACTTGTTCAGTCTTGACTTTGACTTTGCTCCCTGGAGGGTTTTTTTCTGTTTCGAAATGCCCTCGTGAAGTCGTACGGCGATGTCCGATCTCGCTTCTTGTAGGGCTAGTTTCGTCGTCTTGTTCATATTCGGACGTCACCCTCTGAGCGTGATCCTTCTGCCAACCTAAGAAATTCGTCCACTGGGCAGAGGGCACGACCCTGGTATCGTCGCCACTGAGCACGATCTCGGGCGTTATATCATCCTCTTCAACCGGAGAAGTGCCTCTCATTGCTTTAACCAACTCATGTTTGACAGGACTTTTCTTCATCTGATTGGATGAAGGACTTGAATCACCGAACAGCTGCGTTTCAGCGTAGAGGTCCGATGCTGGGCGATGATGATCCACTGAGAATAAGGAGGATTTCATGTCAGCGAAAGCGGTGAGCACTAGCGGTCGGACACCTACACAAATTGTAACCCGCCAGGCATATGTCCCTGGTAAAATCATCAAAACGACAGCATGCTTGATAAATGCTGAGCTCACGATTCTCCTCGAACGTTTACTATGTATTCTTTATCGGAGATAAACGGAAGACGAATATAAAGTTGCTCCTTCTAGTTGCCTTCAGTGGCATATCCGCAAGGAAAGGACTTATGCTCACAAATCCACGAATCAATGTGCCGATCGAGCAGCAGATCATTTCATGTCTTGCCCCCTCATAGAGTATGTCTACACGCGTCTTCGCACCACTAGGAGGGCCGGCGAACGCGACGTGCGTAAGCATCAAAGACATTCGAGGGAGTGGAGTAAGGGAGTGGGCTTCGAAGGTTTGCGACCTGAAGAAACAATGACAGTACGGCGCACAAAAGTAATGCAACTTGCATACCATAGCATACTCTTGATTTTTCTGTTGTCCATAGGAAGGAGGAAGGTGTCGAGTACAAAGAGATAACCAGTCCAACTAGCGCTTCATTAAGCTTTGTATTTATTTATAAACAGCCTGTAGGTGCACGCCGACACGTGAGCATCAGTGCTTGTGATCATAAACGTTCCAGCGTCCTTCAAGATCCTTCAGCGCAAAGTGACTCACGATCGGATTATCATATATCGATAATCATACTGACTTGGGAATGCGGCCTACACGCGCAGAATCTCCTACACTGTCTATTCTGGAACCTACGTTAACTGGACGGACTCCCCTCTTTCTTCAGCATCAGTACCCCCATCTCTTCGGCAATTCAGCTAAACAAGCCCGCAAGCGAAGATCCTCTATGGCGCATTCTACTAGCTCTCTTTGCTCGTCATCAGCAGAAGATGAACTGATTGACAAGCCTACCCGACGGCGACATGCGGCTACACCTCCCTCAGCGCGGGTGGCGGATGCATCCCTAGAGACAAGCCGCGCGATTGTGGCGACCGTGAAGCGATTGACTGAATCCAGATCAACCAAAGCGGGAGGTGTCCGCACGCAGGCGGCTTTGGCTGTAGTGGAGAAGAAGCTGAGCTTGCCCGAGCTCACCGAGCAAGTCGAGAGGTTGGTAGCCTCTGAATCGGCCGACGCTAGGGACGAAATCGCGTCTACGTTGGCAGGGATGTTGGAAAAGGACAACGCCGATTTCACCGCAGAGCTCAAATCCTATAATATCGACCTTTCAGTAATCATTAAGCAGGCTGTTGAAAATGTCGAAAGCTCTCCGGCCTCTGCTTGGTATCTGAAAAAGGCGCCTTCCGAGACATCTGCCGATACAGGCTCTCCTGACCGTTCGCGTCAGGCATCGCATAGTCATCACCCCCGATCGCTTTCGTCGTCTAGGAAGTCAGACTTTTTCAGTAGTAGCAAGAATTTCGCGTCGTTTGCCATCGACACCGGCGGACAGATCAAAGAGCTCAAAGCAGAGCTCTCCCAGGCCCAGAATCTGTTGGCCGCAAAGAAAGGTTTAGAGGAGTCGTGGCAGAGGGAGAGAGACTCGTGGGAGAGGGAGAGGGCAGGATGGGCGAAACTTGAGCAGAGGTTGCAAGAAGTGGCAGATGTGTTCAAACAGGATAAGGCCGACTACAAGCGGGAGAAGGAGAATCTTATCGAGAAGTGGGAGAGCCGTCACGCCGAAGCCAAGGCCGAATGGGAAAAGCAGGCGAAGAAGTGGGAGGACCGGTATGAGAGTGAACTCCAAAAGCGGGAGGTACTTGAGGAAGAGTTGAAGGCCTTGAGGGAGCGGCTTCGTCCTAGCGCGTGAGTGGCATGATATCAGATGGGATAGGTGGAATTGCAATGGGGGGTTTCTGATTAGCCGGCGTAAGAGGTCATTGCTCATTTTTCACCGTTCTTCGACTCGGTAGCCCTTGGACTACTCTATTGTGTTTCTGTATGGTACCAAAGTGTCTCTGGCTCATGTTATGAACAATTGAACCACGTGAACTTTAGGCATGCATCGCGACATGAAAGAATCACTCGACCTAGGCAGTCTCTAGGCAGCTCAGGAGTCATGTTGTGCTGGGGGTTGTCACACAATGATGCCTGCGTGGCCGAAGCATGTTCATGTTATGCAGAGAGGAGATAAACGGAAGACATGCAAGGACAGGGCAACATAATAGGCAAACGAAAAGTCCGATTCATGTACATCAACGAGATGAGAATAAGTGCGATATGGTACGCTGGACCGCCGTTGATGCCCTGACCTCTGGCAACGGGCGTTAGGAAAATGGGCTCGGCAGGCGAAACAAACGTACTCAGCATCCAAACTTTCCGAGATCGTTTGCCTTTCGTCTCTAGCACACCCGAGGGAATGAAGAGTTTTCGCACACCTCCTCCCCTCATACCTTCCAAGTAACGGCTAACTCCTACGACTGAGGTTTGAGCGCGAGGGAAAAGCTAAGGAACGATATTAATTACACACCGAAAAGCGCTGCTTCGTCACCAATCTTCACCGTAGTCTATGCTCCACGGTAAAATGGGAGGGATTCGAAAAAGTCCCTACTTACAAGGGTTATGGCCTCGCGTCTGATAGTATACGTCCCGTCTTGGTTCTGAACCGAAAGAACGTATTGAACGTCGACCTCATCGCCGTGCTGGATGACAAGGCCAGTACCTTCTTGTTCGTCTTTGTGTGTGGGTGCGTCTGCGTGACCTTCTTTCGCCTGCTCTTTCTTGTGTCGTTTTGGAGATTCGGGGAGGTCTGCGTTGGCGACGGCCCTCTTCTTCGGATTAGGGGACTCCGGAATCGTCGTTGGAGGGTTGCTCGTTGGAGCCTTGGTTTGCGCTCGAGGGGTCTCTAGTTTGACGGTCGCCGCAAGCGTCTTGACAGGTGAACTCGTCGTCGGCTCAGCGCGTTCTTCTTGGGTGGCAGTAGAATCATCAACCTGACTGGTACCTCCACACCCTGACCACAGCCCAGTAAGCTGGTCGTCATGCTCGTCAACTACGATACCGAGAAGGGCCTGGTAGTTGGTGAAATCGCTGGAACGTGAGTAGTCGCACACTTACGACACTTAAAACCGGCAAGGCAGACGGTCCTTTCACATGGCCAGTAAATCATTGTGCTCACGAAGAAGGGCATAAAACGTACGAGGACCCCCGTACATAAACGACGCATCCGTTGTCAGTGATTAAAGCCAAGTTCAACTCGATGTGTTCTCTCTATGCTGAGTGAGCGTGCGTCGAGGAGACGAGGCAATAAATATATCACCGAACCAGCTAAGAGAGCAGCGATGTGTAACACCCGTTCATCTCCACAACGGTCGCTGTAATGAATTTCGATGGACGACCTCTGACCCAGGGGTTTACCGACAAACGCCGCGTGGGAGAGGACAAGAGCAAGCTCTGGGACAACATTGGTACTGTTGCCGATGAAGGTTTTTGACCTAAAGAAATTTCAGCAGGATGATGAAGAAATAATGGGAAAAGAAAGCGTCACCACATCGAATTCCCAACGTTGAAAGTCGACATTGACCGTGACGCAGTTGTTGAACAAAGAGGTGAGTGCCTCTGTTGACACAGGAGGCTTGCCACGTGATTGCGCACACATTCAAGGGTACGTCGACTTAATTGGAAAGTAAGCTCGCCACACCCGACACCTTTGTAAATGTACAAACAGCCGCACGAGCCCTTGCACGAACCACTGGATGTCTGCCTGTATGAACCAATGTACGAACCACAAACGCTGCACGAGCCCTTGCACGAACCACTGGATGTCTGCATGTACGAACCAATGTACGAACCACTGGCGGTCTGTACGCACACGCGGAGGGTACAACTGTACATCGGAGTACGAACCCTTGCACAAGCCACTGGATATCCGTCTGTACGAACCATTGTACGAACCACCGGATGTGCGTACGCACATGCCAAAGGTTGCACGAACCATTGTATGAACCATTGCACGAACCGCTGGATGTCTGTAGGCACGCCGCGAGGACGACCTATTCTACGTATTGGTGTATGAACCATTGTACACTCGATCGCGTTCAAGGCGCGTTGAACCAAGGAGCACAAGGAGGCACGAGACCGAGAAAGACACGTGGTTCGTCACACTGGTTGATGAGGAAATGGGCGCTTGAAGCCGCCACTCATCCCGACTTCACCTCAACCATTGCCTCGGTCGCAGCGACATCGGGATGGGTTCTGGCAACCCTCGCAGCTAGCTGGACCCTGGAGGTCCTCTGGCGACGCAATAGTTGCGCTGGGTTCAGGTAACCCTCACAGCAGCTGGACGCTGGTGTCCGAATCATCCATCTGCTCGTGTAAGGGATGCTCCCCGGCATCGGTTCAGTTCCCGTGGTCCCACTGGTCAATAGGTTGGCCTTCGTTGGGCCTTCGGGTCCACGATTGCGATCCCAATCAATTGCGCTCTGCCCTTACCACCTGGCTTGACCACCTGGCTTTGGGCGGGAACAAACGGACCTTTTTCCCTGAGCTTCGTGACCATCGTAACGCACTAGCGTCATATGTGGCTGCTCTCTCAATGTTGTATTTAATCAGGCAACTAATCAGTAACACCAGCGTCACACTCCTTTTTCCATCAACTCAAAGCGCCACCGATAACCTATAGTAGACGTTTATTATATTTCGAAGGTCTGGCACGATGAAATTCGCGTTCATCACTTCCGAGAAGCCCCCAGTGAGTCTCCGCCCACAATTGCTTATCCTTCCGGACTGCCGGCTGCGCATCACCACCGGTGACCATTACGCTCAAATGATACAACACTGCGTATCAGTGAGTTTGATACCTTGCATTGTATTATCCACGACTGACTCTCTTTATGGAAGTCAAGCTTTGCGGTGTGCACAGTCCGTAAGTCTGGACGGCCCTCTGGTTAGTCTGCTTCAAAATTTCCTCCCATTGTTCTTCATCCACGAAATGTATTCCCGATTTTTTGCATTAAGTCTATGTTGTATGCATTTGCCAAGTCTTGTGAAACAGCCGTGCTAAAGTCTCCGTTTATCTATTCATCTCGCGAGTCTTTCCTAAGTCCCTGGGATTTCGACAACTCTTGGCTCAGCTGCCCTATTCGCTGAACATGCGACACATTGCAGGTGTTACGGCGGCCCCCAGCGAGAACAACACCGCCAGAACGCAAAAGTCATGATGACGCCTACGAACTAGCTTGCTCGGATGATCACCAGTCTCCCCAATTCTATGTGTTTCGAAAATCTGGAGGCGTTGCGACGAAGTTGTGATCGCGATCAGAAATACGTCGCCTGCCTCGTCGTAGTGTTGCTAATGAACACGTCAGTAGGTAGCCTACCGCTGAGAGATGGGAATTGTTCATACCGCTAGGCAGACAACATTTTCTCCTTCTGAGACGGCGTTCCATGATTTGCACGCAAAATGAATACCATGCAAACGTACCTTCTAGTGATATATCTGGTCCCAACGGCCTTGAGGTCTCAAGGTCCCAGATGATGCCACTCCCTCTACGCCCTTCCAGCAAGGCCCACCCATTATGAATGAATATTGCGGGGCCGCACTCACCGGAACTATCCTCTCGATTGAAGCTTTGCTGCCGTAGTCCGTGCGGAAGTGCGTAAACAGTAGTGCCTTGACGAGAGAAAGCTGCAAACAGTTCTCCGTTCGGGGAAAGGGAGCCACCCGCACTTGTCGCCAGAAGCTTCAGTTCGAGTTTAAAAACTATGTTGGAGATTACCTACTTCTCGATGGCGTGGGCGAAAACTATTGATTGGGTGCTGACATCCCAACCGCTGGCGGAGAGGATTCAATCATACGGATCGCTGGATGAAGCTAGACGACGTACACAATGCCATGGTGAAGGTAAGACACGACCAGGGTCGTTGTCATGCCCTTCCATGAGACCGAGGTGATCTCAACGGGGCCAGCGACGTTACCATGCGATTTGGGCGCGGGGACATCGGCGAAGAAGCTTAGGACTTTGAATTTAGAATCTTAATCACAGGTGAGCGCTATGTGCATTACGAACGAACTCGTTCTCGTTTCTTACCTTTCGCAAGCCAAACAGAAACAGAAGTCGTACTTGAGATGGCGAGCAAGGAGCCATTGTGATGGAGAGCCAGGATAGCGACCTTTTCTTCGAGCACCGGCAATTCCCAGAACTTTGCCCACTGGAACATAAAGTTGGCTACACTGTCGTTACATCCGCAGGGAGCCTTACATCTTTTGGGTCAGGACGATCGATCCTCGCAACCATGAGGATCCCAGTAGACCATCCGCTGACGAAGAGACCAGGAGCCACCCAAGTAACCGCCGTAGCCTCAGCCCCGACCACGGGCATCCTGCAGAGTTCATGGCCGGAATGACATTCAAACACCCTGATTGTATCTCCACAGCAAACTGCCACAAGACGGCCGTCAGTCGAAAACGCCAGACCTGTGGGAGGCATCGAATAGTCTATATTTTCAGTCATATACTTGTCATGTTTGAGAACATAGTGGAGCATCGCGAAGAAGGAAGTGGAGTGGCTCAGAATGAACCAACGGGAAGGGTGAAAGAGATAGGAGATAGGGGAACACGTGCCTATCTTGTGAGCCGCTTCTCCGATGATAGCCCAGTGAGTTTCATTTGCTGCTGAGTCAGCCCGAGCGCCTTCGCAACTTTGTCGGAATCACATACCTGCTATACCCTCGCAGCTAGCTCGAATCTGGCAGTTCTCTGGATGACCCACCTCAAAAACTAGTTCGCCTGGTAATCCTCACAGCTAGCTGGACGCTGGCAGTCCTCTGGATCTCGAAAACCAATTTGGGCGGTCGGACTCTGGCAGTCCGCTGTCGGTTTTCTCCTCGACAAAAGTCAACTCTCGGCCGGTAACTCACTTCGACGTACTCAAGCTCCCAGATATCACCGTCACATACCAGCTGAATCGCTGAAGTCCTGATCTCGCCCGTGCCCTATTCTTTTACCCCCCGGTGCACTTCTGTGAGGCACACGTCACCTACCAGTCGCGGTCTTGATCTCGCTCGTGCCCTAGACGTCGGTCGCGCTTTGCTGCAAGATGAGTCGCCACGTGTAAATTCCATACCCCGTTTTCGTTGGATTGCCTCATGTCGGTGTGGCTTTGGTATTTAAGACAATGCGCGCTGGTGGCTCAAAGTGGCTCTCTTCTTTACACTTCTGACCATTGCCTCGAAACGCAGATCATCTCATTCCAAACCATCTCATCCTGACCCCAGTCAGCCGAAGGGATCACGGCGCCTCAGACGTGCTCAGCTACTTATGGATGGCAAACAGAAGAAAGATGGTGGCGACGAATTTGTAGAGGTTGTCATGACCAGCGATGAGGACGTCACATCTGCTGTATCTCACGACGATTCAGACCACGACGATTCAGACCCAGGTAATGTGCCGAGTAGCTTGCTCTTTGTCTTTGTCTAACTTCGTATTTCTTGTCAGGTACCTCTTTGTCGGTAGCGATGTCCGCCGTCGAATCTTTAGGACGACCTACACCTCAGCAAGCTATCGGTTGGTCTCCTGACCACATGCTCGGCAGAGACACAGACACTGGCGACATTATCCCTTTCGGATCCCCCTCTCCATCGCCTTTTCCCGCGATCCATTTCCCTTCCACGACCGTAGACTCTATCCTTGGGGTCCCTGTCCCTGTGGCTCTGGGATTTGAGGACCACAGCGGAACAGGAAGCTCAGAGGACTATGTCTGGGACGGCGACAGCGATGACGAACGGCAAGCGGGATTTCTTGCAAGTTACCATGCCCAATGGGATGGTCAAAGCGCGTCTGAGACGACCAGCGAGACTGAATGGAGTTCGGGACTCTTCGAAGCGCAGTCGCTAGGCGACGAAAGCGAAAGCGAATGGGATTCGATGTTGATCGCCCACTACGAAGCACACTGGGACCGGGAGGAACAAAGCGAAAGGGACGTGTTTGCGTCGTCGCTCGCAAGAGACGAAGAGATGTGGGATGGCCTCAGCGATGACGAATACGAATTTGCGTCGTCGCTCGCAAGCTACGAGGAGCTGTGGGATGGCCTCAGCGACATCGAATGCGAATTTGCATCCCCGCTCGCAAGCTACGAAAGGCTCTTTGACGAGGTTGAATACGAATTCCCCGTCCAGCTCTGGGGTAGGGACGACCAACGCGAGTGGGATTCGGGGT